CCTCCTACCTTTCAGATACCTCTTGTTTTAAGATGGGCATATCACTAAAAGGCAGGTCTGCCTCCAGAAAGCCCAGGAAATCACGTTCTGCATTGAAGGATTCTTTCTCCAAATCAATGTCCATTGCATTCTGACCACTAAATGAAGAATCTAAAAGATCTCGCTGCTGTAAATCTAATCCATCAGTTTCAATAGGGCGGCCAAGATTGCTGGGAGAGCTGGAAATGCTACCTCCTTCATGCTCTGAGCTACTATTTTGCTTCATATCGCGCTGAGGTCTACTGTTTAGTCCATCATCTCTGAATCCTTTAGCAAAAGGGTTGTAATCTATTTTTAGCTGGGTAATCTGGATATTCTGATAGGCTGTCACTGCAAAAAACTCTGTCTGTGGGAAGGTAAAGGTGTGGACATCAGGACCATTCAGCTGGATAACTTCTGTAGCTTTGTCTGCAGGTACCAGGTGAAGCCGTGGGAGGTAGCGGTGCATAGAGTGCAATATGATATGACCCTCCTGATCAAGAGTATTATTGGTAAGCTTGAGTTTGTAGAAAGATACCGGCTGGTGCATCCAGTACTGACCAGTGGAGGGTGATTCTGGATGAATAAACACCCGTCCCAGAACATGGGGTTCTGCCTTCCCACTGGGCTCCCACCAGCGACCATTCCATTTATAACGGTGATTATCTACAGGAGAGATGTCCATGACTAGGATGTATTTCAGATTGGAATCTAGGCCTGTAATCCAGTATCGACAGTATGGAAACATACGCCTCCCCTGTTTGGTCAGAATCATCTCTGTGCTGCGATGGTAGAACTCATTCCACATACTGTTGTTGTCCAAGGTGACAGTGATGCTCCCTGATGTACAATCAGCTGGAAGGCAAGTCTTTATTTTAGATTTTAGTGGCGTTGACACACTACTTGCGAGGGCACAGGCATCCCGGTTTGCTACTAGAATTCCTTGATCAGATTTACCATTTCCCTGCTGCTGTTTCAGGATGACAAAAAAAGCAGGTGCTGCTCCAGACACTGCCCCACTATCCCGGTTACCCAGCACAATTTGTTGTTTCTCCATGATGATGATGGACAGTGCTGTAAATTCTCTTAAATTAACTGCAAATTTGAAATGGTTCTGACAGCCTGTCCTCTGTATTCACCATCCTGGAAACAAACAAGACGACCCAATTAGCAGTAATTAAATGCAATATACCAAAAATACTCCTCCTTTACTTGAAGGAA